TGAGGATACTTTGCGCTGGTTTATTAGCGGGGCCTAGGTAGAGAGGCCGGCCGCTGGAAGGCTGTGGCGACAGCGTGGGAGCTGTGGCGACAGCGGGTGTATGTATGATGATGAGAGTATGCTGACGTGGCATTTTGGCTGAGGTGGCACTGCATTGCGTTGTGGGTGGTACCGAGGCTATTGACTGGTCATCGAAATGCACATCAGCCCAATTAGTGAAAAATCTGTTGTTGGGGGCAGCTATCTCCAGGTACGTTGTTCCCATTCCTTATCTACCCTCTCAATCTCTTTTCACCGTGAGGAGTGAGTCCAACTTGAGTGTCCTCTCTTTGGTAAGGAGTAGTGTGCGCTCTATCTTGAGAGACGACATTCTTCCCGGTGGCGCATCCGGCAGGAGAGGGCGGTGCCTCTGAAGGGCCCTGGTCGAAGCACGGGTCACGGGCACCATGCCAACCCATGGGTATTAGTACACGCAGGCCATGCTGCTTTGTCCATTGAGGCTCTTTGCTGCGCTGATAGAAGGGGTGTGCGGACTGACCAGTCCTATTAAGACGCTCCCAGACCGTCTATAAACATTTCTGGTTGGGGTCTGATCTGTCCATTGGCTGTGATCGTCGTCCTGATTGCGACGTTAAAGAATTCCTGAGGAGATGGGGGCTCTCCTTAAATCCCTCCTGATCACCCAGATCAGTCAGACGTAAGGCTCGTTGCACGCGAGGGTAAACAAAGGGGCAGGCTGGTCATAAGCATACTTCTTGGGCACAGGGGTGGGCCGTGGTCCACACCTTAGACACCGCAGCTTGATGATGCTCACAGGTACATTGGATCCAGGGGAAGGGGATTCCAATTGTGAACTCAACTGTACATCACTGACATATCCATTGTGCATACATCTGCTTACACTAGTCTAAGTTTTATTTTGATTAGTTGGTTGGCGGACTGCTGACACCTAACAGACATGCTAGAGTAGGACTGTAATCTACCATAGTCAGTTCTTCTCAAATCTTCTGTGCAGACTAATCAGAATAGAGTTAGACAATGTGTACAATATGTGTAGAAGCTGTTGATGCCGCTTGACTAGTAGACTAGGTAACTCGCCGGGCATTTATTTAATTATTTATTTTTAGATCCGGTCAGACGCATGCTGCGGTAGGTTCCAGCGAGGACATTAGTGCAGACAGCGTCTGCATAACCTATGAGTGGATCAGAGGGTGGTGAGGGTGCAGATGACGACAGGAGGTTAACAAGGTTATCATCCCTTAGAATTCCTAGAGTGTTCCAGACCCTACAACCGGGAGAAGAGAGAAGATTAACGGCTGAAGCTAGGGCCCGTAATCTTGAGGCTGTAAGGGAAGCAGCAACAGCTAGAGCGGTAGCAATGGCTACTTCCGCAGCAACTGCGGCGAACTCAATTGGTCAAGCGCTAGGCATGCCGACCAGTTCACAGTCAATCTCCAGTACGTCAGGGGTGGGCACTAGTCAAATGGCGGGCTCGCAGTTCAACTCGCCGCCTCCACGCACCCGGGAGCAGATGGAGCTCCAGCAAGTAGAGAGGATCCGTTTAAGGTTAGAGGAGGAACTTAGACAGGCTACTAAAAGAGAGAAAGAGATCAAAGAAAGAAGTGTCAAATTAGAGGGCAGGGAGGCAGACATGGTTGCGCTAGAGGCATTAGAGGACTCCGCACTTAACACTACAGGAAAGATCCTGAAGGCAAGAGTCCTATCCATGCATGCGTACATAGATAGCAAAATGGACGCAATGCAAGATACTCTAGACCAGATTTTGCAAGCGCTGCATAAGCCAGGGATCCGGCCAGCAGCTTTACCATCGCTGCCACTCTCAACGATGACAGGCCTCTATGCAGCTCAATCAGGACCACCACCAAGTGTATCATCAACAGTAGCTCTATCTCAGACTGTTGCTTCTTCATCTTCTGGTCCAGTAACTGTTGCTACACCACAGTCGCCACCTGTCTCGCAACCGGGACAGCAATATCCTTGGTACCCCGAGACCCCACTGAACCCACCTGCAACCTTCTCAGGAGACAAGAAGGATGAGGCTCTCGACACATGGTTGAGAACGGTGCCAGTGTGGGTGAGGGCGAAAAGGACATTGGTAGAAGAGGAAGTGATTACTGTTGCATCCTACTTAGAGGGTTCAGCAGCCCGCTGGTTAAATGGATTGGTAGCTTCAAAGGGTTTCGGCAGGAACATGCATGATTGGGCGCAGACCCACACATTATGAAGCTTTATGGACTTAGTAGAGGCTCGTTGGCACAACCCTCAGCAGGCACAGATTGCCACTGATGGGCTCTTGAAACTTGATACTACAAAGTACAAGTCTGTGCGAGAACTCACCACAGCCGTAGAGCGCCTGATCATCGTCCCGGGAGTGGAGTACAATCCACAGGTCTTGCTGACCATGTTCCTGAGATGTCTTCCCATAGACATTAGGAATCTATTAGTCAACGAGGCTCGCAGAGAGTATCACACATTTGAGTCATTCAGCAAGAAGGCCCTAGACTTAGAGGCTACGCTGGGTGGAGCTCAAACCCCTTCTACGGATGGGAGAAAGAAGAAGACTCCACAAGAGTGGAAAAAGAAGGGTAGTCGATTGATGATGGTTGATTCCGATGGGAATCAAACTGAGATCGATGATGTTTCTGAACTTGTGGAGGGTTTAAAGTTTGACGGCGAGTAAAGTGCTGAGGGTAGCAACCTCGCCACCGTAGTCAAGACTAAGGCCGCTGGCCGCGACAAGGGCGGTCAACAAAGGAGTCAAGGGCAGACCGCTAACCCAAACAAAATAGTAGAGCAGGTCTGGATCAAGAAGTGTGGCGGGACCGTTGGTCTCGTGGTGCTTGTATTAACTGCGGTGAGTACGGTCACACACAGTTCAAATGCAAGAAGGTCTCGCAGAAGATCCCTCCTAAGGGTGGGTTCTCTTCTTCTCAATTTGGGGCCTCTACGAGCTCCAACTTGGGAAACACTTAGGGCCAGTAGAAGTTATAGCTGCTTCTACTCTCGTTGAAGCGGGTGATGTACCCTCCCCGTTTCAAGAGATGGCCAAAGCTATTGACTCCTTAGTCACCCCGCAGACGCATCCGGACCCAACTATACTTTGTACGTTGGATGTGTCTGAGGCCTTAGAGGACCTTCAAGGTGAGTGGTCGGCAAGGGACCCTCGTGAGTCCTGGGTGGCACTGAGTAGAGGTCCTAGAGGGGAGCACTTCGTTGTGGAAGATGTGGGCGGTCGCAAGTGCGGCGCCTTCGTAGACATTGGCTCCACACGAAACTTCATAAGTCGCGACTGCGTTGACAGACTATGCCTAAAGGACCGGGTACAGCGCCTTAGTAGACCGGTAGCATCTACTTCGGCCAACAAAGAGTCCATGATGGTGGAGGACTACGTTAAAGATGTAGTCTGCACCTTCTCCTACCCAGGAGGAGAGATAAACCATAAGATATCTTTCCTGGTGAGCGACGAGTTGCCCTTTGACATGTTATTGGGCATGTACTACCTCAAGGTTGCCAAGCCCCAGTTTGACTGGGACAAGAAGGTGTTGAAGCACGAGTTGCCTAGTGGGAGAACCGTGAGACTCGCCAAGTACAAAGCCAGTAGGTTAGTAGACTCCTATGGGTGCTTATGCGCATCTGCCTTTTATAATTATTATGAACAGAACCAAGAGGAAGGAATGTACTTAGTCTATGTCTCTGCAAAAAGGGAGGCCGTTGAAACACCCCCAGAGATAGAGACCATCGTCGCGAAGTACCCTGATCTGTTCGAGGAGCCTACAAGAGTCGTAGACAGGGAGATTGTCCATGCCATAGAGATTATCCCAGGTAGTAAAACACCAAAGGGTATAATCTATAGGATGGCTCCAGCCGAGTTGGACGAACTTCGGCGGCAACTGAAAGAGCTCACAGAGAAGGATTGGATCTGGCCTAGCACTTCCCCCTTTGGCTCACCAATATTGTTTGTTCCAAAGAAAGGGGAACACTAAGGATGTGCATTGATTATAGAGGCCTCAATGCCATCACCGTTAAGAACGCAGAGCCTCTACCACGCATCGACGACCTATTGGATAGGGTGCAGGGATGTAAGTACTACACAAAGATAGATTTAAAATCCGGCTACCATCAGATTGCCATTAGACCAGAGGACCAGCACAAAACCGCATTTCAGACCAGGTATGGTTTGTACGAGTTTGTGGTGATGCCATTTGGCCTTTGCAATGCGCCGGGTACATTCCAACACACCATGAATAGGATCTTCCATGACTACTTGGATAAGTTTGTTGTCGTGTACCTCGACGACATACTTATCTTCAGTAGATCTGTCGAGGAGCATGCTCAACATGTAGACACAGTACTTTCACTCCTTTGGCAGCACAAGTATAAGATAAACTCAGAGAAATGCGAATTTGGTCGCACTCGAATCTTGTACTTGGGTCATGAAGTATCCGTGGATGGGATTAGGCCCGAAGATGCTAAGGTGGCTAGCATACGTGACTGGCCACGACCCCAATCAGTGACTGAGGTCAGATCATTCTTGGGAATGTGTGGTTATTACCGCAATTTCGTAAAGAATGATAGCACGATCACATCTCCCTTGGCTGATCTAACTCGACTCGACACACCATGGGACTGGACCGACGAGTGTGAGGCAGCTTTCAAGCGTTTGAAGCATGCTCTCACGCATCATGAAGTTCTCATGGTAGCCGACCCGCAAAGGCCATTCATTGTAACCACTGACGCAAGCCAATATGGGATTGGCGCAGTGCTGGCTCAGCAGGAAGGGAAGAAGTTGAGACCGATCGAGTACATGAGCAAAAAGATGCCTTCAAAGAAGTTGGCAAAGTCCACCTACGAGAGGGAACTCTACGCTCTTTACAAGGCACTTGTCCACTGGAGGCACTACCTGTTAGGAAGGTTCTTCTACTTGAGAACTGACCATCAGACACTCAAGTGGATCAAGACTCAACCAATTCTCTCCGATGCACTCAAATGCTGGATTGAAGTCATAGATCAATATGATTTCAAACTAGACTATTTGAAGGGAGAGTACAACAAGTTTGCAGATGCGTTGTCTAGGAGGGCAGATTACCTAGGTGCGCTGATTTATGAGTTTGGTTTGTCTGAGGACGTGATTCGATCGTTGGAAGAAGCCTACAAGGAAGATCCCATCACGATGGACATCATCAACAAACTACAGGCTAAAGACAAGGCCACCACTGATGAGTTTGTGATGGTGGATGGGTTGCTCTTTCTTGAGAAGGCAGGGTTCAAAAGGTTAGTTGTTCCATCTAGGGAACCTTTGCGTAGTTTGTTTTTAGGTGAGTGCCACGACGCAATAGGACATTTTGGTTATAAGAAGACTAGTGCTAATCTAGTACAGCGATTCTGGTGGCCTAACATGCTTGACGATGTGAAGAAGTACGTGGAGACATGTCAGGTCTGTCGGCGGAACAAGCCGCGAACTCAAGCTCCGCTTGGGTTACTCAAGCCTTTACCCATTCCTGCTGGCCCAGGTCAGAGTATCTCCATGGACTTCATGGATACTCTCGTGACCAGCAAGAATGGCAAGAGGCACATTTTCATCATAGTGGACAGGTTCACTAAGTACGCTAGACTAATCGCCATGCCAGAGACTGCCAGGACTGAGCACGTCATCAAGTTGTTCATGGACAACTGGGTGCGTGACGTTGGACTTCCAAAGACGATCGTTAGTGATAGAGATGTGAGATTCACAAGCGAGATGTGGAAGAAGGCCGCTGAACAGATGGGCAGCCAGCTCCAAATGACTTCTGGGAATCACCTCGAAGCAAATGGGCAGGCTGAACAGATGAACCGAGTGGTGCAGCATCTGCTGAGGCATTACATTAAGCCCAGCCAGGATGACTGGGATGAGAAATTACCTCTCATCGCCAGCCTGTACAATAATGCTGAACATAGCACCACCGGTGTCAATCCTAATCAACTGCATCTCGGGTGGAAGCCTAGATCTGCTCTAGACTTCCTCCTGCCTGAAAACCGAACTGCTGCAACTCCTTTGAATTTGGCGTCCAGTATGAGAAACTGTTGCAGCAGACTGTCAAACATATCAAGAAATCTCAAGAAGCCATGATAGCTTCTGAGAACAAGCATCGCCGATAATCCACATTTCAAGTAGGGGAACGTGTCTGGGTCAAGGCTAGTGAATTGGGACAGGAGTTTGGGATCTCTAGGAAACTAATGCCTCAGTATTTCGGTCCCTGGGAAGTCTTGGACATTGTGGGGAATGATATGGATGGTCCCTCGTACGTCATTCGTATCCCTGGTCACTTACGCACTTACCCTGTTTTTCATGCCTCCAAGCTTGCACCTTTCGCTGAGACAGCACAGTTCCCATCACGGAGATCTACGCTGCCCCCAACCATGGATGGCCACGTGGACGTCGACGATATCCTGGATCACAGAGACACGCCTGTTCCTAAGCCACCTGGCAGGGGAAGACCTCCCAAACTTGCGAGGGAATACAGAGTACATTTCAGGCATCATACAGATCCAAAGGAAGATCGATGGATCCCAAGAGAGGAACTAGTCAAGACAGCTCCTCAGATCGTGGCAGATTATGAGAAGAGGTTAAAAGGGAAGGCACCAGCATGAAGCATCTCAGC